AGTGTTTTATTTAAATGTGTACTAGTCGCGTAAACTACAGACAGTATTTAGAAGTCGAGTAGCTATACTATTTTATTGTTTCTTATTGTATATGTGTCTTATCAAAACTCATTTCGTATGAACGGGAATTATACATTTCTGTTCATTAGGATTTCATAAGATGCTTCCACTTGATTTCCCCGGACCACAATAACGATTTGTACACAGAGAAGTTCAGGATTCGGGCAACTAGATAAAAATCACTTTATTGAAACTGGCAATAGCACCGGCTGCATTACAAGTATATATATATTAGTTTTCGGAAAATGGCCGAAAGAAAATGCACTGTACAAAATACACACAAATGCATAAATCTATTTTATATATTAACATGTATTTTTAAAATTAAAAATCAAATTTATTAAAAAATTAACGACACGGGCGCGAATTGAACCGGCGCCCACTGCGTTCCGTGCTGTTTCTCTAACAAATGCCGTGTCCTTCGCTGTGTTATACTTTGTGTTCATTTTGAGTATTTTTTGTATGCTAGGGGCAGAGTGGCCTAATAACAAAAGAAAAATATTTTCATCAAGGAGCAAAATGAATATGTACAATCTTTTGTGTAATAATTATGTTAACAATTTTCGGTAATTGTGCTCTTGTAGATAACATTTTCAGACTCTGAGAAGAGAAATAGCTCCTAAAATTGCAGTTAGGCTACTCTGCCTCTAGCAGCCTCATATATTCGTAACGTCTTTCGTATAGGCAATAATAAGCTCGAATATCTTCGAATGTCAAAGACTGGCGAGAGCCACTCGCTTTGTAGATCCGTCTTTACTCATCCCACACAACAAAGTAGTAGGCTAGATTTGGAGGTGACGTAGAACTTTCTATAACAACTGTCGCTAGGCAACGCGACAGTTGTTATTTCGTACAGTAGTACCATTGGAATTGTACTTGACGAAAATGCAATAAAAAAAACGTTTAAATTAATGATCGACGGTTTAATACGCGGAATAAATAAAATTGAATAAAATGCTATGTAATGCTTTGTTTAACATACATTGACGCCGATTCAACTTTCTTGGATATTAAACTGTACTCTAGAACTAGAATTAAAATAATAAATAAAATTAAGATGTATTTAAATAAAACACTTTAACGGTTTGAAACGCAGAATATATTAGCCATACTAATTCTAAGAAATTATTTTACCTACGGTCCGACGTTTCGGATGCTATGTAGCCTTGGACGGGGACACAAAGCATTCGAAACGTCGGGCCGTAAATAAAATAATTTTCAACTTAGTGTAAGTAATATTTAACCTTTTAAACCGGTAAAGCGTTTTATAAAGTGTAGTACTCGCGTTAACTACAGACAGTATTTCATGAAGATATATTTGATTAAAGAAATCGGTATCACTTTTGAAGCAACAGTATTTTGTAAAAATACGTTTTAACGAAATGCAAGTTTCATGTTGGTCCCATTAATTCGCTGAAATGAAATGATTACGTCTCTTTTAACTTTGCATTAACCCCGATTATTTCTGCAGAGATCGTGCATTGACAAATATTACCTTCAGTAACACTATACAACTGCAATAGTAATTATTGTAAACGGACTTTCATAGAGTGAAATAGAAATTACAAGTAAGTTTAAAGGCTTGGCATATATGGCGTTTTTATAGTGATATGAAATAAGCCGAAAAGTAATGGTTACCAATACCCTAGGGTTCATAAGCCCTAAAGAAAACACTAAAGTTGAACCTTAATACTATCTATGCGAGAGGAGTCACCATATATGTCCAACGAATAGAAACTCTCTATTTTCCAATAACATGTCTGTCTCTATATATCTGCAAATCTCTAAAAATATAGCGTTTTCACCAATAAATTAGGGTTACCTATCAGGTTTGTACACGTACTTTGTAAGAGCTATCTAATACATACCTATATAACGTTCTCGTGTGAGTGTTAGTTACCATACTCGTCCGAAACGGCTCGACCGATTTTGATATGTACTAATAATATACATTAATAAGCGATCTTTGAATAAATAAAAAATAAAGATTGTTTAGTTATCTTTGTCAGTTCTTTTTCTACACGAAATGACTGTGGAAGCCGGTTCAAGTATTGTCAATGTCTTAAATTTATTTCAATCAAAAATCCCTCTTTTAATCAATATGAATTTTATAGCTAGCAGCTTGTTGCAGTCCAAAATCTCAATGATCATAAGTCGAAGACAAAGTTACTTGTTTAAAAGAACTTTTTCAAATTTCCTCCTGTTTCAATTAAATGAAAAACTTGTCACTAACAATTTCTTTAGTATTGAAAATACATAGAAGCAATTGAAATCGATTCACTGTCCAATGTCAAGGTCCCCGTCCCCAACTGAATACTCACCATGACAAAATAAGTCAAATAAACTGTGGCACTGCAGGTTCTTCAATGTTGTGCATCTGAAATGATAGAGAACTCGTTTAGTTTCTGGAGTCTTTCAGCAATCATTTCTAATTAAGACCTTGAAATTAAAATTCTTTACAAATTGTTTAAATATTATTTAATTTAGCGTTTTCAGGAGCGTGAAATTTTTGAACTAGCAACTGCAATGAAGTAATGTCTATAGTTTACGCGAGTAGTACTCATTTAAACAAAACAATTTAACGGTTTAAAACGCGATATTTATTAGTTGAATTCATAAAGTTAAACTATTTCAATTACGGCTCAACGTTTCAGATGCTCTGCACGAGGGTACTACATTTCGCGTTTTAAACCGTCAAGCGTTTTCTTTAAATGCTAATAATGTAATAAACAAGTCAGTATCCTAAATCTCACCAGTTCTGCCTCGTTAGAAACAGCAAAATTGTTATATTTAATGTGCGTAATTACAATTTCAGATATTTTTTTCCAATTTAAACAAGAGCATAAATTTACTTAACAAAAGACGTTAGTTGCTCGCCAATAGAAGACACTCGCCTATTGTCTACTTCGTGAATACCTAATATGTTATTGTAATAAAAATAAATATTGATACAGAAAATGTGTACATAGTGATGTAATGTGTAAATTTTTCGGTAACAACGAATGAATTATCCACGCTATTATGTTTAATCTATCGTTCTCGATTAATTGTTATTTTAGGTGGCAAATGAGGGTTCTATTATTACGGCGTTTAATTCTACGGGGAGTACTACGAAAATATCGTTATTTATTCAGGTGTACTTTTTTAATACATGTATAGATATTAATGACGTGTCATTAAAATTGAGTGTGGAACGAAAATTACAGAATTGTGTTACATTGCATTCATTATTCGTTGATATGTTTCAACGACTGCATAGTTTGGGTTTTGAACAGTTTTTATCTGCTCCACGGTTTAATGGTTATTCTAACCTAACACAACTACTAAGAGGTCCAGAATTCGTCTACCGGGCAATATCATAGATTCGATCGAGTAGGATAGAGTTTGGAATAATTGTAGTCTGTACAAACCTGATATTTCAACATAGCATAGTATATTTTACAAGGTATAAAAAATAATATACCCTTGATTTTAATACGATAAACAAGTATCAACTTATTTTTTTTAAGTTAAACAGTTTTATTTTTTGTGCACTGAAAACTACAAAACAATGTAAATTTTGACGTAATCATCGTGTTTTACTAGTGTAGCCCTTTCATTTGATATCCATATTGAGGGGGTTAAGTAAAAATAAAAATAAGTAATCCGCCATTTTGTATCCGCGGCCATCTTGGATTTATAATGTTATTGATTTTATTATATTGTATTGTCATCTAAATTAAATGTGTGTGCCAAATTCCAGATCAATCTGACAACGGGAAGGTGCTTAAATTTCATTTTCTAATGTTGACCAGAATAAATAAATTCCGTACGAGTCGAGCTAAATAAAACTGTTTTAAAGGAAAAGCTAACCGATGCCCCTTAAACACTTATAGACTAAAACAACTTTGTACACTTTTAAGTAGTTGGTAAGTTCTGCAATTCTTGCGCATTGACTTGTTTACTTATTAAGTATTTTTTCTAGTCGGTTTGTCTGGAAGACCTATAAGAGATTTAGAGCGAAAAGGCCGCCCGGTGCATTCTATAGTTGAAAACAGCTGTCAAATAAATAATTAATTTAAAAATCGAAAATAAATTGAAAAATTTTTCGACTCGGGCAGGACTTGAACTGGCATCGTTAGCTTTCCGTGCTGTTGCTCTACCAATTGAGCTACTGAGTCCTACACCTCATCGTCGAATTTTATCAACTTATTGATACATGCACCTCTCGCGCAGTGTAATTTCATCCTTAACACTTGCGTACTAAGGTATAATAATAATTAATTAATAAATAATGAAACAGCGCTGTTAGGTATGTGTTAAAAGTTGTGTAGAATAATCAATAATTTTAAAAATAGAGCCAAAGCAAAGAAAAAGATTATAGAATCAAAATAATAACAGCTAAAGATGTTCAAACAGAGCGCATTCAAACAAATATGTTTGCAGTATGCGGCCAATCAACCGATCAAATGTCAATAGACACTGTACACTCAATTGATCAGCTAAAAACGAAAACTAGAAAGCAACAAAAGTTTACAAACGAGCAGTGAATTTTAGCATTGCGTTTTGTATCTATAGAATTCAGTAACTTGACGGATTGGGTACTCGTTACAATGTATTAAGACTCCCCTATTCCCGACCTCTGGCCTGTTAGCTTAGGGTAACTAGAATATTTTCTTAAAAAGATTTTAAACACCTAAGTTGTTCTTCGCCTAAACCAAATTCGAGCATTGCATTTTTATGTGAAATTCCCTAAATAGAAATAGAAAAATATAATATGAACTTCCTTCCAAATAGGTTATTCCTTTTTGGCAACCGAAAAATTGTGCATATCTTTAAGTTAGATTCATAAGTAGTAAGTATTATTATTACATAGATTTTGTAATTTTAATTAAAAACCGTCTAGTTCGTAAGTCTATGAATAAATAAATTGAATTGAATTAAGATCTTATGTCTTTTAGGTTCAACAAGAAGATGTACCGGGTCCTCCGCCAGCGTACGACCTGGTAGTCGCAGATTCTTCTCACAAGGATTGTGATACGTTACAGGTAAAAACTTTTTATAAATACAAAGCAACGTCAACAATGTCCCAATTACGACGGTCGAACATGTCGAAAATCCAAGATGGCCGCGGAAGTCTTTTTTATTTTATACACATATTCGTTTTAGACATTATTTTGTAACGACCGAACTAAGTAGATTTTCTGCAAGCATTACAAGCTTTTAATACTTTCAAATATATTATATTACATGTGAACTGCGCTTATTCGATACAAAAATTAGTCTCAATTTTCGTTCGACCGATATTAAAAGAGGAAACGCAGTGCATTTTCCAAATAACCATTACGCGACGTTATTGTTTCAATTTCAGGATGTCGTGTCGGAGGGCTGTCCCCGCTGTCTCAAAACGGGAGCGGACAGCGAACTGCCGTCGTATGAAGCGGCGATACAGCTAAAGGACACTAGATTATAATAACACGCTTTATAAAATTAAATAATAGATATAAATGCAATGTCGAATGTTATGTTTATTAGTATTGGTTGAGAATTAAGGATCAAGAGAAACATACTAAGTCACGTGTTTAGTTAATATGGCACTAAAGAGGTATCTAGGACTAATAATTTTGCTTTAATAATATAGCTCTATTTATTTCAGATCAATCTGTCAACTTAAATTAAATTTTTGAAATTAGTTTTTAATTAATCATATTTATTATGAATTTACCATTATTACAGGAAATTATAGCACTTGTTGTTATTTAATTATTATTAATTTTTTTGCGTTGTGTATGTTCAAGATCAGATTAGGTCCAAGAGAACCCTAATTAAACAAACTTCGCTTTGAATTTTTTTAAATAAAAGATTTTCACATGATTTGCAGCCAGAACACAAGTTCAATGTCTTTTTATATGGAAGAAGGCTTTGTCAATGGTCCGATGTGTTTCCGGTCCACCTGAGACTATGTAAGAAGGCCTCTTGTTCTTAATGCACTTAACTTAATACACTTAAACAATAAACTTTTGATGGAAAACGTATATTGAATCGAAATATGCAATTATCCCTATATTCGGAGGTTAATTACTAAAACACCGATACGGAACTAATTTCACTACGCTGTGCTGGTTTTAACGCTGTACTGGTTTGATTGTTTTGTATAATTAATAAGTTAAATGCTGCGGTTTGAAGAGGTCGCTTACACGCACCCAATGAAAACCACTTTTCGCTTTGGAAAATCGTCTAGAATTTATTTTAAAGCCTATCGAATGTTTGAAAACATTGTAACCTTATATTATTATAGTGAACATAATTTTTAAATTCATTTACTTACCTACATGTATTACATTGTAAACATTTTATACAGATTTAAGGACCGATTGTGATGTGAACAAAATGGTTATTGATATAAAACAAATGTAAAGAGTGGAATTAAGAAGAACAAGAAGCCCATATATACAGTACCTATTTCTCGCAAGCTTTTAATATTGTTGGCACATTTGACACTTAACACTAATGTAATGTCTATTGACCAACCTGATATCAGTTAATAATAATAATAAAAAAATATATTTTTTATTAATATTATTTTTATAATATGATTTTTTTACTTGCTATCAGTTAAAAAAACACTGATTTTTTTACTGATATCAGTAACCTACTGGTTCAATAAGACGTTATGCTACTAATTCCCCAGTCTAAAACTTGGAATATGGTTTCTGTTCTATTCCAGACAAAAAAAATGTCTAATTTTATTTTTATCATTTTAATTTCGTTACATTGTATATAATATAGTTATATAGTACCATTTAAAGTATACATTTTTCTTTGTTCTATAATAACAATTAATTTAAAAATCCTATAATATAGTTTTAACATAAGGTTGAGCTTATTTCCGGCTATAATAGTTATAACCAGGTACTTCTTACATATATTGATCTTATGACTAGATTTAAGATCACGTTTGCAACCAATTAGGCATAGAATTTTTAATGGTCTAGGAAATAAGACTAAATATAATGATTTAAAATACATACTTAGTTGTATTACACTTATAGTTCACGCGAAATATAATAAAACAATTTCAACGCATTGAAGCAATAATGTATTAGACATTTGTACTAGAGCAGATGGCGTTACTGTAGCTACATTTGACTTTGACATTTGGTTACATCAACTTTGTCGTATTTGTGCTTTATGTAGTATTTTTATATTGTATTGCTATGATCTCAATACGTAATTGGGATCGCAGTGAACATAAGAGATAAATGAGAAAATATTGAGCAATTTAATTATGTGTATTAGATAGTAATAAGCAAATAGACCACGTGGCCTAAATAATCATTGATAATAATCAACACGAATAGAATAATGTAAACACTTATCATGGAGTTTGGTAAAAACTCGATGGAAGAGCCGATAGTCGCTGTCGAGAGACCAAACTCATGGTAGGGTCACTTAGCACTGTATGTATGATAAGGGTATGTTTATATATTATGTGATTTGCTTGTAGACAATATAAAGTGTTTGTTAGAACTAATGGATTTCAATTTACACATCCCTTAGCCTAAACAATCAGGTACATGAAGTGCGCTGAAATTATATAATACCAACTCATGCAAAATTGGAACTTTATTTCAAATAACTCAAAATGTTTAAGAATAAAAATGTAGCTGCATTTTATATTAGCGAATTAACACTATAATGACTTTAAGGAAATTAAAAAAAAGGCAAAAGATATTTATTTTTACGCTTAAAAAAAGAATATCACAACTCATTGATTTAACATTAGTAAAAGCTAAACGGCGTGATTTTATTTTTATTTTATTCAAGCTTACAAACGGTACGGTACGGTAGGTATATTGCCGTGTAATTTTTCGTATATATGCATTCTTAAGATTATTTATCACTGTGGATTTCTCATGCGTACACTGCAAAAATAATTTCAACACACCCAAAATAAGTATGAAAAAATGATTCCTCCTGTCCTGGAAAAAAATCCGCGACACTATATGTATATCTTTTAAGATTAACTTGCAATAACGACGGGACCCGAGACGGGATGCGATCGATGTCGTGGGCAAGAGGTTTGCATAGAAAAATATGGATACCCAAAATAAATATTTTACGCAAACAGCGTTGTTGACACAGCTAGTATGATTATATCATTTTAATTAATTCCGACGGGGTTTCTACAAATACACAATTAATAATAAAATTGGAATTTGTTGCCTTATAATAGTTTATTCACATGAAAGACATCCGAGATGAAATCGCCCCAGTCTCCTCTTTCATATGAAACATTTATTTGAATCACGTTTAAAATCAAACAGCTTTCAATCCTTTTTAATATGTGAAACCTTTGCACTTTGCTTTCAATTGGGATCGATTTTTTTATGTTATATGTGATTGCATTTCAGCAGCTATTATCCGAAGCGGTTTTATAGCGCATCAATAAAGCGCTTTTTATAGATCGGCTGAGTCATGTTTGAACTTTAGCAGTTGCATTCGTTTTAATTACACTCGTAATTTCTTGTTAGCGATCGCCAACGAGGCGATAAAATACCTTATCTAGATAAATCTTACAGTTAATGAATTAGTTTTTAATTCTAGAAACAGATTCGTCGGCTCGTTGGTAATGATTTGGCTAATAATCAACGGGTTATGGTTACGGTCGATCCCCACCGGGGCCCACATGTTACTATTTTGTCATCAATTTATATATTTTTTCTGAAACATATTGGACTTTGTCTGGAATTCTGAATATTAAATGGGGAGTAAGGATATAATAATTCCGTTCTGGTCACGAACTAACGTCCACAGGTGAAAAAGCCATCAAGCGTTTCAGTTTTAGTCTGTGGACTTCCGAATATCCAAAGCCAAAATAGGTCGGCATAATCTTGATTAGATTGTTATATGTTAACTATTACTGCTTGCCAAGGAATGGAACCTAAGACTTGTCGGGACGAAATGCAGCCACCGTAACTATTGAGTATCGGATCGGTTTTAACTATAGTGTTAATGAAATGGTAATTACATGTTCGTAATCTAGCTGCAAGATATGCAGCAAAACTCTGAACAAGTTATCCAATGAAGGTAGTTGGCACGTGCCGTAATGCCAGCACTGTTTTTAAGGTTAATACAGTTATAGCTTCTTACATAACGCTTTTAATATCAAAGAGTGACCTTTTGCTTCGATGGTTACGTATTAATAAGTCATCGGTTATTGTAAAGGCTATATTCAAGAGAGTAATTACTTATTTGAAGAGTGTCCTCTAAGAATAGGATGCTTAAAGAATAAGACAACAGAGCCAAGCTTGTTAAGTATTGTCTGTAATTCACGCAATAGTACCTACACTTTTAATAAAACCATTAATGTTTTAAACGCGAAATGTATTAGTTAACTTATTTACAATTTGATACTGTCTATAGTTTACGCGAGTAGTACACGTTTGTCTCCCCGTGACCACGGCTGCTGCAAAGCATCCGAAACGTCGGGCCGAAGTTAAAAATCATTTTCAAATAAGTTTAACTAATATATCGCGTTTTAAACCGTTAAAGTGTTTTATTTAAATTATTTACAATTTATTTTAACTACGATCCAACGTCTCAGATGCTTTGCAGCAGCCGTATAAAACGATATAAGTGTTTTATTTAAACGTGGTCTCCTCGCGTAAACTACAGAAAATGTTGAAGATGATACACCTTAAATGGTTCCTTGGCGGTGAAATGAATGTAAGGAAAAACGGCGAAAGCACATTTTCGCTTTAGTCTGTGGAGTTCCGATTGTCTATACCCAAAGCAGATATACAGCGGCGTTATAGGACTGGGGCTTTTCTCCCAATCAAATTAACCCCAAGATTTTCTCCTACTGTGATACTGTAAAAATATGCAGGCTCATATGAAAAAAACATTCGCACAAGGAACGGACCGTGCTGTAGCGCGACTGTGTATTAAAAATTCTAAAACAAACGTGTTCTTTGCATAATGTAAAGTCAAATTACGAGACAACTTGGCCGCCGCGTTAATCGCAGTTTCATTTCATTGCGCCCCGTTGCAATTAAAAATAGCGACTGCGTTTATATTGTTACGAAGCCGAATAACAATCATAGTACAGTTACGTCACATAAAAGAAACGTGTTTTTGAATAGTACGCTGTTTACCTTTCTATGACATAATTTTGCAATTTATTGTGTTATCATCATATGGGCTGAGTATGATTGTATTGTATTACGATTAAAATGTTTCTAAACAATCAAGTATCTTTAAATGAAATGATTTTAACGGTTTAAAATAGAACATATATAAGGTAGAAATTAATGAAGCCACAGATTTTACTAAAATAGGTGTCTTTTAAATGAAACACTTTTAACGGTTTAAAACACGAAATATACTAGGTAGAAATTTATAAAGCCACAGAAACTACTTAACCAAGTAACTTTTAAATGAAACAATTTAACTATATAAAACACGAAATAT